TCATGAGAGCCTGTGAGCCAACATAAAGGTTGGGCTGGATTTTGAAAGCTCTGGGATGCCACTCTCAGGTGTCCCTGCTCCATTCCTTCTGGCTGCTTGGGGGAACAGACTGGAGATAAAGGCATAGATGAAAGGAAACTGCTTAGAAGCTCAACCTCATCTGATGATACCTTCAAGCTTTTTGGTTCTTCAGAGAGTTGGAGGAACAGAAAACCTGTTTCTGCTCCATGTTGTGCAGATAGAAAAGGGAGAAGCACCATGGAAGAGACAGATGCTTAGAAGGAAGGTGATTCTGAGCACAGGGGAGAAACTGGCTTGCTAAGAAGGAGGCATGGCTGTGTGGATGGCTGGGAAAGGGTTGCTTGAAACAGATACCCTCTTGTCCTGCAAATTGTCATGATGGCAGGGCCCAGGATGTGGTCATTGGTGGGGATGGATGGAATGTCGTAGAGGAAGAAAGTCACTGGGGTCAAGGAAACCATGGAAATAAGGGTGACTATTTCAGGTGGCACTGTATCCAGGTGGAGAGGAAGACCCCCAGACCCGAAGGATGGCAGATAGCAGATGACCCAAAGGATGGCAAGACTATGAGAAGAAGGTGGTACAATCCAAAAGGAGGCAGAATTTTGCAGCCAGAGAGGAAGTTATGGCTTAGAAGAGGTAATACATTGAGCGCAAGGAGATAATGGGGTGTGAGAAGAAAACCAGTCTATGCTTGAGATGCTACAGGAGAAGCAAGGAGTGCAGGGAAGTCAGCTTTAATTAGGACAAAAGGGTGGCAGAGACTTCCACAACGTAGTTTAGGGTTTAGAGGAATCCGATAAATAAGGCACAAGTGTTGCATGGGATACAGTGGCAGGTTTGGGAAGGAGTGAAGGCGGGCTCTGATGGGCTGCATCCAGGGATGTTCAGAGCAGTAAGAGTGCATGGAGTTGCATTTTCTGGATAAAAACATCTGTCTGTGTTCATTAATATTTTAGTAGAGCAAGGGAACTAGGTCAACCTCAGATAAGGCAGGGATGAGAAATTCTCTGAGATTACAGAAAACAGATGTCAGCTTTAGCATCAGTGGAAGCTGGGTAAGCTGAAAAGATTAAGAACAGATAGCAAGCATGATGCCCACCCTTAGTGGGTGCACATGATATCGAGGGAGGGGAGGAAGAAGAGAGGCACAGCCTCCTCAGACTTAAAAGCAAGTAGCACTGTTGGACAGGCCTGAAGGGATGATTAAAAATACAGAATCAGGATCAAAACCAACTTGGAATAACACATAACGTTTATTCTCTGCAAAAAGATCTGCTTCTGAGATTCTTCATTCATGAAACATCGATGCCATTCTCTACAAGTCATCCTTGGCTACTGAAGTGGGTGCCGCGGGGCACCAGCACACCAATGGCTCACTGGGGACTGAAGCCTTGTGGTCCCAGTGGCTGCAGTGTTGCTGCCGAAGGTTTTCAGCTGACTCCCTTCCTGGGATTGCTGTCAGGAGGGCTGGGGAGATGGCACCTGTACAGTGGCTAATCCTGGGGTGGCTCTCCACGTGGGACATTTCTGGAGGGCCAACCCAACTGCAGAGCTCTCATTTTGGGGCCATTGAACTTGTGGACAACAACCAAAGAAAAACTGCATTTTCTTCTTCTCCTTTGTAGGAAGCTTTTTTTTCTCTAAGTAGATGTGAAATGCTTGCATTTCAGGTTGGAGATCTCAGTTTGGAAGGTCTGACCCACCTGGGGATTTGGCTGGAGTGACTCCATGTGGCGGTGTGGAGTGACAAACATAGAGGCAGGAAGAAGAGTGTCATGGCCAGCCCTGGAGGTGGACATCCTGACTGCTGACAATATTGCTGGGAAATGGGGTGTCCTCTGGGTACCAAAGTCCTACACCCTGCCCTTATGTGGTAAAATCTTAGAAGGAACGGCTGCATAGAAAAGTAGTAAGGTGCAGAACCAGAAACATCTGGGGGTGGTGTTCCCTGCTCCCTTGGGCACATTCTATCAAGCTTGCACCCTTTCACCAATTTTTAAGGACATATGTTGACATATAATTTGTTAAAAATATATTATAAAATAAACTCTAGTATAATGGATTTCAAGCTCTACTATGTATCATTAGCATCACCTAGATTATTTGCTAAAACAAACTGCTGGGTCCCACCCTGAGTTTCTGATTCAGCAAGTCCAGTGTGGGACTGAAATTTGCATTTCTAACAACATTCCAGGTGATGCCGAACGACAGGTGCCCAAAACCACTATCTTAGAGAAAAGAGCATGAAAAGGAGATGAGACGTAAGTAACACAGTACAAAGTATGTCTTTTCATTATAACTGCTTGCTCAGCAGCCAATAGGACACATTCTACCTTATTCCTCAGTTCCTGCCCCTGAGGTTAGAAGCTGGCTCTACCTTTCCTTTGATAGTATCTGACCGTCTGTGGACCTGTGGACCCAGGTCCCTGGTGGAGCTGCCAGCTCTCACATGGACCATGCTCACCTAGGGGAGGGGCGGCCTTGATGTGTTTGGTTGTGCAGTTGAATAATGTACAAAGGTGACCAGCAGAGGGCGAGAGTGGGGCTGGTGTTCAGCAGATGCCCCCTCACCCAGCTAGGAACCTAGAGTGGGCTGCACCTGGCTCCGGGAAAGTTCTTTGCACAGAGGGTCCTCTGCCCCTCAAGCCATGCACTGTCTTGAGGGGGAGAGGGAAGCGATTGTGTCAACCATAAAGAGGGGTCCTTTTTCTAATTTGCATAGAGGCCAAATGTAAGCTTTCAGAATCCTAGGTCATGAGAGCAAAGTGGGAACGCCAAGAGGCTCCTTTTATGGCTCCCCTTGAGGCACATGTTTGAGTCTATGAGAAGCACAAGTTTTCCTCAAAATGAGGGACACTGGATTGGCTGAGCCAGTTTCAGTTCGCTTTAGAAAACGGGGGAATGCTGTGTTTTTCTTCCCTGAGCACATTACCAGCTGTTGTCAGTCTCTGCACTATCTGGGCGGCTGAGCTCAGCAGGTCCCTGCTCCAAGCAGCCTCAGCATGACCAGGGAATTTGGTAGAATTACACATTTTGGGACCCAGCTCCAGCCCTGCTGAATCAGAAAATCTGGGGTGTGGCCCTGCTGGCTGTTTAACAAGCCCTCCCAAGTGACTCTGAGGCAGCTAGAGTTTGAGAGACACTGACCTACAGCTTGTGACCTCCCACAGGCCTAGAGCGCTCCTGGGGAGCTCATTCAACCCGGTTCTGAGGCTGAATTTCCAGGAGCAATCTGCAGCTTCTGGCCAGTGAAAAGTCAGGGCTCATGAGGGAGTGACAGAGAAGCCAAGGATATCATTTCAAGGGTGTTGCTTCTGTTTAACGGGGCCTCCAGAGCCCGTTCCTCACTTTCTCAGAACACATAGTAATTGTAACTGGCAAAATGCAGATTCTTCTGCAATGGGGAATTTGCAGAATCAAACTGGTGCCTTTCACCAGCTCCAGAATCTTACTCCCTGCTAGATCTGGGGTTTTTGCCTCCAATATTTTTAGCTCTTTAAATCTTTTCACCCTTCTTTGTTTAGGCTTTAGCCTCCATTTTATCTTTTAACCTGATAACCTACATTTTGGGTTGTCATGGAAAACAACATCCTGATTTGTTAGTCTGGATGGTCCTTTCAGATTCCAGAAATGGTGGCAGGCAGTGGCCAGAACCTTCTCTAGTGTATCTGCACGCTCCTGGCACAGCTTTTTGAATGACCATCCAGTCATTTGAAATGAAGAGGAGACTGGGGAGGGAGTGACTACCTTGCTTTCTGGCATCATTAAAATAGGGGTAGATTTGCCGATGGTAGCCTGAAATAACTCAGAATAATGGTATATTCTTTTCATATTCCAATGACCATAGTTTCAAGGTCAAAATTAGGATAAAAGAGAGAGCAAAATAAATTTTTTTATTCTAATTATAATTCTTAACGAAGATGTTAAAAACACACATTCCCTATGAATAACAAGGGCAGAAATTTACTTTAGAAATGAACATAAAATGATCATGCTGTTTGAAATTATGCAGAAATTCAAAACAGTTTTAAACAGGTAAATGGGATTCCATCAGCTAAATAAAATTTAAAGTCAAAAAAATATTGTGCAATTCTCTTAGAAAATTTGGTAGTATTAAAAAAGGAGTTATAATACAAGTGTGAAACCTTGCTCAAACGTGTCGTTTAAATTTATGGATCAATGTTACAGGCAAGCATTTTTAAAATGTTGGGACTGAATTATTAGCCATAAATCTTATTTCTTGCTGATTTACCTGTTTTTGATCAATACTTCTTTGACAAAATTGTTTATCAATGTCAGAAAGTAAATTCTAGTTATTTCCTTGAAACGCCAATGTGAAATTACTCAGTGAAAAGGCAAATCTAGCCCCAGATTGCCAATGACGCTTTTGTCATAGGCGCCCATCAAGCTAAAATCATTAGTCTGCTGTGTGGTTGGCTATGGGAATGGCCCCATTTCGTCTGCCTTCTAAATTAGTAGGTTTTCAATCCAGTATCTGGACACTGAAAGAAAAGCTTATGTAGTAAGTAATAATTATAGTTGGTAATGTGAATGACCTAAAACAAAAAGAATCTAGTGCGTCTTCCATGAAATTATTTTAATTCATTGAAATATCAGGCATTTCCAATCCTGTCCATCTATTTCAGAAGCATGCAGTAGATGGCACCTAAAAGCTCTTTGGAGGCAAGCAGGCGCCATTTAGGCTGGAGCAGCCGTCGCTGCAGCAGGCATTTGGCACAGATCAGAAGTCAGAGATTGAAGAGGGAGGAGGAGAAGGAAGGCTGAGAAGCGCTGGGCGGCTGTGACCACACCAGGCCCGCTCCCGCAGGGCGGCGCAGGTGCGCGGGGTGGCAGGTGTGCGGGGGGGTAGGGGGTGTGGGGCGCGCGGGGACGCAGGTGCGCGGGCTGCGCGGCGGCTCCGGGGGCGCCAGGAGCACCCTGGCACAGGTGTACCGGGGGAGCAGGGCTCTAGGGAGGGAGCGGGACATACCGGCTGGCGAGCAGGCGCGGGCGGGCGGGCGAGCAGCTGACAGCCTCGTCACGGCGGCGGGAGGGAGCGCGCGCCCCGCCTGCCTCCGGGAGGAGCCCGCATCCGCACAGGCTGCGCTGCCCTGTCCTAAGCGAGGCGAGCTGGGAAGAAGCTCTGAGCACTTGTGTTCTTCCTCAGGTAACAGATTTCCCCTCCTTTGCTGTGGCTTGGCTGCGTCCGCGTTGGGGCACAGATGGCTTTGGCATTCTTGATTGCGAACCCGGGTAAAGGGATCACCGCTATCTGGGAGGGCGAGTCAGTAATAAAAACACTGGAGTTAGCAAGGGAAAAAATAGGTGCATTTCTGTATCTTTGTCAGAGAGGGTGAGCATCTTGATACTCTTGTCTAAAACAAATTCTTAAAAAAAAAATCTGTATCTTAGACATTATTTGGGCTTCCTTCCAAAACAGAAGTTAGTGTTTTAGAAAATTCTATGGTGCAGGTGGTTCTATTAAAGTGGAAGACGATTTCATGGATTTATGAAAGTCCTAAAAAGATGTGGTCCAAAGTGAGAAAAATGCAGAGCACGTTAGAGGCTGCCGTTTTGTTCAGCATGTTTTCCTACCAGACCGCAGCCTTTCATGGGCTTGGCTGAGACTTGGCTAAATATTTTAATTCTCTTTCTAAAGAATGCGTTTCATGATACCTACATGAGTTCCTTTCTGTTTCCTTGTAAGAGCAGAATATAGGAGAGGCACTGCATCCCATCTTTAGCTGTTAGGCTGTGGTTCCCATAAGATGACAGTGACTGCTCTCAGCGCCCAGGCTGGCTTCTCGCCTCTTGGGAACCTGCCTGAGTCTTCTCCTGAGAAATGCTGTCTTTCCCCTTTAAAACTCCAATTGACGTTCTGTGGGTTTGGGAGATTTTAAATGAGAAGCTCTGTGACTCATGGGTTTCATCCACCGAATGATGGCATGCAACGTCGAGGTGGGATTCCGTTTCTTCCCACTGTGCAGTCATACATCTTGCCTTCCTCAGGAATTTATTCTTTCTGTTTGCCCCTGTTACCTTTTGAATGGCCCTCTTCCATATGAGAAGCTGGTGTTAGCACATGATACCTTTCCTGCTTTGAACTAAAAACATTTTTAAATATTCTCTTTTAGGAAGGTTTTCTAGGAAACAATGAAAGACTGGAGCATTTTACATCCCAGATCCATCCAAAATGTGCTGCTTTTCCAGTAGCATTTGGATTTGAAGAGGTGGAGTGGGAGGGAGAGAAAGGGGGAAACTAAAATTAGAAGAAATTTAACAAATTTGTGGGAGAATACTATTTTTTCTTTGGTTGTTGCTTGAAATTGCAAATTGTCAGCAATTCTGTGTGGAAATGCAGGAGGTTGTGTGGGCTGAGGCACAGGAAGACCCACAGTTCATCTTACAGAAATAGGAGATAGAAAGCAGGAAACATTTTCATCCCATTTAACATCCCATTTAATTTGGGAATAGTCACGATGGTCCTGGTGAACCCGGAGATAGGAGGGGAGAGAACGAAGAGGTTGCCATCTGTAGCAAGGCACAGCATTGCTGTCTAGTCCTCGGTTATCTGTTCAGATGGCAATTATACGTGCATGGTTATTGTAGAAGCCTCCAGAATTTTTTCTTGTTGGAGCTTTGATAGAGTTGTTCCTAAGAAGAGATGCAAAAAACACCTAAATTGAATTTCAAGTTGTAGCATTCCTTCCCGCTTATGCCTAGCAATCTAGCTTTCTCAGCACTCTGTGACACCGCTTCTCCAAGAGCACAGCAGAGACTTCTTATTAATTCCATGTTGTGCATATCCTATAACCCACACATGCCTTTACCCACTAGAAATGTATCATTTCCAGGGTGGATACTGTCTCTACTCTAATACCTGCATATCTTACTAAAAAATGAAAACCTTTGAAAAATAATGGGGGTTCTTTTATAAAAATGAGAGTGCATCTGTGATAATAAAACATAGTGTTCATTCTTCTAATTTTTGTGGCCATAGTTGATATATTAGCATATTGGAAATAATCTATTGATTTAGACAAAATCATCATTTTTTCCCCAAGATAAATAAATGAAGTAAATTTTGGCAGCATAAAGACTTTCTTTGTTACAAAGAGGAGCATTTGGTTGTCTGCAGTGAGATAGTGGCTTGCCGGCTGTTTTAAGTTAAAAAGGGCTTGGTGCTGACCTGTAACTTTCATTTCAGATAACCACTGTGCCCCATTCTTACTTACATGGTGGACTGGATCTTCCATCAGTCTGTCTGTCTATCTAGCTATATGGTCTGGGTATTTAAAATGAACAGATATCTCTTTAAAAGCAGAACTGATTTCTGATTTCTAGGACATTACTTGTTTTTAGTTATGGTTTTTCTTGGAAAATAGCTGCTTTTAGTCAAAAGGGAAGATGATGGTTGTCATGTCACAATTGCTACTGTTCTTTAACAAGGCAAATTTACACATGCACACACATAAGGATTAACTTAAAATTATTTGATTTTGAATAATGTTTAGGTTTTATTGTATTATGTGGCTTGCAATTCTCTTCCTTGACCCATTAAGGACTCAGAACAAATGCCCTCTCATTCTCTCCTCCTTTGCTCTTGCCACTGGCAAATTCAGGAAAGAAAGATTTCTTGTAGCTCTCTCCTTAGTGCAGTTAAGTGTTTTCCCATAAATCAGTGCTGTCCAATAGAAATAAAATGTGTGAGCAACATGCATAATTTAAAATATCCTCATAGTCACATTAGAAAGATAAAAATATACAGGTAAAATTAATTTTAATGTTTTCTTTAACCCAATATATCAAAAATGACCATTTAAAGATGTAATCAATACAAAATACTAGTAAGATATTTTATAAGTTTTTATGCTAAATATTACACTTACAGGCTATCTCAATTTGGATTATCTATGTTTCAAGAGCTCAGTAACCCACGTGGCTAGTGGCTGGTGGATTGGTCAGCACAGCTATAGATGGTTAGTCCTTTGACAAAAAATTTAAAAGCTGAAATGTTAGGAGCATTACATTGAACCAATTAAACACTATCAAAAATAAACATACAAAGTATCTCAAATTGCTATAAGACTTCCCTAGTTATATAATCTTGTACCTATTATTTACTTCTTTATCAGTAAAATAAGAGGATTGGGTCAAATACATCCCTCGATTCTACAAAAAATAACCAGTGAATAGACTTGTGGATTCAACCCACATGCAGCCTCAAATTCTGCAGTAGCAGAAACAGAGGGAGATGAGCTAGGGGTGGGCATTGCCATTTTGTACCCATACTCGTTTGCTGCAGTCTAATCCCTGATTACAGACAGCAGCAATTGAGACCCTGTATTCCACTAGAGATCATCCGATTTTCATGTCTACATTCCTTTACTGGGTATGTCACAGCAAACCTATTGCAAAAATCAATAAATAGCTAGTGAGCTAGCGTTCACTGTGTGATTGAATATGCTTTGCAGATCTTTTAGTATTATCCTTCACTGCTATGTGTATTTTCGTATTTTCGATGTTTGTATCTATGTATTTCACACCATTAAAGACAATTTGGTGCAATGTAACACTTTGCAATTGCTTGATCTATGAATACTGACTCCTTAAAACAAGAAATGAATGACCTTAATGGAAAGAAGTCAATTTCTTCACCCAGTCCTTTGATGGCCTCCATGATCAATGAGTGCTGAAGGGGCTGGTACTGTTTCTATCACCTAGTTCTATGTCTTGGAAGTCATGACAAGGGATTTGAAGAGAATAACACTTTGTATGAAAAGAGTTTGTGCGATATTTTTGTAAAGCTAATTAAAGTTTGGAAAGTGATTATTTTTCTGAGAAAATATGAGAACACAGGAACTTTCCATTAAGCCTTCTCACAATAAACTCCCTCCTTCTCTCTCTCTCCCTCTGTCTCTCTTTCCCTCTGTCTCTCTCTCTCTCTCTTCCTCTCTCCTTCTTTCCCTCTCTCCTCCCTCACTCCCTCTCTCCCTCCCCCCCCATTAACTTCCTAATCTGGGGTCCAGATACTCATCAGAGCTAAGACAGAAGAGGCCATGGAGGGGAAGCTTTCCTTCCTATGTCATCTTTACACTCCAATCATTTGATTGGAGCACATCTGTGACTTTTGATTTTGTAGTTTAGCTTCAGATGATACTGAGCAAAGGATCAATAATCAGTGTATGGAGGAAAACCAGGAGTTCTCTGAGCTCTCTGTCCCATTAAAAACCCAGCTGAGTGGCATTTACCTTTTTGTATAAATTTGAACTCACTTTCCCAATTCTACCACCCAGCTAAAGCCCACCTGCCTCCAACTGCACGTACACTCATGAGATCAGTGGGTTATCTCACTGCCTCCTTGCCTATGAAATAGTCCCTGAGATTTAAAGAAAGATGTCTATGGAATAGTCCCTGCCAAAGGATTGTGCTTCTGTTTTGAGCCTCTTTGGACGTCACTGGGTTCTTGACCACAGGATGAATGGGAAGGGAGCACAAAATGTAAAACTGACATTACTGTTTTAGTAAGGTTTATGTAAGTATTTGCAAACATAGAGAAGGGTGGAAAGGTTGAATGATAGAAACAACTGGGTGGCCTAGATTTTGAAAAGAACCTAAATTTCCCAGGATATGACAACCAAGTGTTTATATATTTTTGATTATCTCAGATAGATTTACAGATTACACTCTATGCATTTCTTTTTTGTCCTTCCATTCTTTCAATGTTAGTTTTAATTCCTCTAAATATACCAACATATTCAAGATGCAGAAATAAATCAGGTTGTTATAGCAAATATTTATACATAAAGAGTTAAAATGTAAATATAGGAGAAATGAAATGATCTCACAGTAGGGAAGGATTTTCTAAGGATAATCCAAAATAGGAATACTAAAGAGGAAAAGTTTGTTAAATTTAGCTGCATAGAAAATTTAAATTTCTGTCCAGAAAACAAACAAAAAAACAAACAAAAAACCCCAACAACATTAAAGAACAAATAACAGCTGGGGAGAAATATCTGCAACATATTTCAGATGAGGTCTAATTTCCTTAGTACAATGGGTCTCAAATTTTGTGAGCATCCAAATCACCTGATGGGCTTGTAAACCCTGAGGTTGCTGGGTTCAACCCCAGATGATGTGACCTGCACTCCCGACTCATCAGCCAGG